TGTTACAGCTGAATGAATCAACAAACAAATACAAGGTTCAGTTATTACTTCATTTTCTTAAGTACCATCCCAGGGCTTTGCCAAATTTTGGTGTTTTGGTTTTTTTTTCCCCCCAGTAGAGATTGTAAAGAGTTTTACACTAAAATGTACATCAGCTAAGCAGAAGGGATGTATCCTTTGGCAGGCTAAAATCACATCTACCATCAACTTTATCATGTTTCCACGAAAATATGCTCCGTTCTGCTGACATTAAAGCACATTTCCTTGAATGGGCCCTCCAAACAAAACCATCTGAAATATAAAGATTTTATTTAGGACTGTTCCTGGGGCTGGCAAAGCTCCAGTCTATTTGAAGGGTGTTCTGTCTGCCCGCTGAGCCTAGATTTTTATTTTCTGTTGCAATTTTCATGTTATCACAAGCATTGCTCCACTTTTACATTTGCATTAATCCCAATACATGCTAGTCAGAGACCAATGTACTGGACACTGCAGATAGACTAGACCTTAAGAAATTTTCCTCAAGTCTCACTAATGTACATTTTAAAAAAAAATCTAATGCATATCTAATTAATCTAATTCTAATTAATTTTGAAAGTTCTAGTAAGTCAATTACATTTGCTAACTGGTGCAAATTGTTAGAGTCTAGTTAGAACCCTGCCTTTCAACTGGGCACCACAATAAACTCAAAAGTAAAAGTAAAGAACATTCAAAAATAACTCTGGATTGAGAGTCTATGAAGATAAATTATATTCTCCTGCTTTCTATTTTTCAAAGCAGCAGTCAAATTGGGAGTATGAAAACTAAAACCAAAGAGCAGTTCTCTTAAACATTCGAATAAATCCATGCAGCAAACAACCAGTGTGACAATTTTTGGCACACATTTTGAGCCACTCAGAACACTACTTTGACTGCACAAAGTCATTAGTTAACATCATTAAGGAGAAAAGGAGCAGTGCCTGGATCTCTGTCTCTTAATAACTGCCATTGGCAAAGGACCATCAACAACAAAGCAGCTCTTATGAAGCAGAATAATGACTTTCTGCAGACCAGAAGATGCTCCCTTACTCTCAGCCTGGCTCAGGGGAGCTAAGCAAGAAGCTACTAGGTGATGAACTGTCATCATTTGAGCAAGAGTTTTGAGAACAAATGAGAGAACCACAGCCGATGGATGTGAAGGCATGAAAGGATTAGGTGTCCATGCTCCCCCTCACAACAAAGACCTTCTGATATGCAGATGGCGAGACCAGAAGGAGGGAACCAAGAACGCAGGGGGATTCATGCACGATAGTCATGAAAAGCTGAGGTGGACATCCAGATGTTTGTGTACGTTATTTTGGATGGGTCTGTATATACCCCTCCTACAGTCCAGAAGTAAAATGTGATTGGTTTAGAAAACCTGCAAAACTATACATTTTAATGGCTTACACTAATGCCTTTTTTTAGTACAAGTGTTAAACAGGAAAGCAGAGTATCACTAGCAGAGTGTTCTGGGATATGGCTCCTTGGGGGTTGGAAAAGAAAAGTGGTCTCAAACAAATGGAAAGCATGCCCTATTTCTAACAAATGAGCAAAGAACCCCCCTGTCCGTCATCAGAATTGTTAACCCAGAGGGCAAAGAAATTGTGCCTAGAATCTACTTAGTCAAGAGGACTCAAGAGGTACAGACCTCAGCAAGTTGCCTGAACACATTGTCTTATGGGTGTCTAACAAGGAGACACTGTACAAAGCTTTGTAAGAAAAGGAAATGTACTATAAACAGATTGAAAACTTGAAATTACTAGTATACAATTTTATCATAAGATACTTTGAAATTAAGTAGAAACACATATGAGAGAAAAAAAACTGTTAATAACAGCATCCAGAGATAAATCTAAGCCAAAATGCATTAGGAGAATGTGCGCTAAATCTTGAAAATTGGGAAATTGAAGGAAGATTCTCCAGTTCGTCATAAGATCTATATAGACATTGCTGTAAATACATTTCTGAGCGTTGAGATTCTATACTGAGCTGAATCTTCTAACTTTTAAAAGATGCATTGTAACAGGAGACACGCTTTAAAAGAGTTCAAACACCAAAATTTTCATTGGCTTATTGATGAGTTTACTGCTTTTGGAAGAAGCAGAGACTAACTTTTTGACCCAATTTTCTACAAATGTTCTATGTTTCAAATGCTGACCTGTGTATTTGCTCTCTGCTAAATGTTAATGTAGATCTCTGCCTTGGAAGATGAAAACCAACTTCCACAGAACAGGTATCTCCACTAGGGTCATGACTTGAGAGACTAACTCAACATGACAGATTTTCTTCAGTGTCAAGATCACCTCGGTGAAGGAATCTACCAGGAGACTATTTACAGCCCTCAAAAGTTGATGCCACTCTTTTGGAGGAAGATAATGGGAAATAAGACAGTCTAAAGAAAAGATACAGCTCCCAGAAGGTTTTTAAATCCTCCATCGAACCCAAGTGACATTTATGCAAGGTATTGTTTTCCGAAAAATTTTAACCACCCCCATGTCATTGGTTCCGATTCCCACATCATACAGGAACTTTTCAGAATTTTCACAGGTGCATATAAACAAAATGTGTCTTCATAATTCACCTAAGAGTCTCAAACTCTAATGTATTAGGTGAACCATCTTTACAAAAATTTATACTGAGGATGCTTTATAGCCTTTTGTACAGCAAGAAACTGCTTCATCAGAGAACTGGATGACATATTCTAAATACATACTAGAAATAAAACTCAGGATTATTCGAGCACTGCTCTAGAGCAGAGCCGAAGAGCACATGCATCATTATACAAAGTCTGAACTGTATATGTTTATACTTTTCCAATTCAACGAAACTCTTTCTGCACAGCAGAGAATTACAACATTGACTCTTGTAGAATTAAGCAAAAACATATAGGGAGGGGGAGAAAAAAAGGAGAACAACCTGAAAATGCAGTCCTCTCAGATATTTCTAGCTCACTATCTATTGTGCAGTAAGATGTGCAGACAAGCAGCAGCTAAACAGAGAACCACCTCCACTACTTGTGCTATCTTATTAAAGGAAAACATAAAAGACATAAGAAGAGGAGCTGGGGAGGAGTGGGAGAGCACAGTCCATGCTCCATTGGAGCGGTAAGTCACTGAGAAAGCGACAGGAACTCACAACAGACTGTGGTGTTTCCCCCTGTGTTTTTCCCTGGAAGAAATACTGACTGATAGTTTAAAACAAAAAAACACACCACCCCCCAAAACCAAAAAAGCCCCCACCAAACCAAAACACCTCAGCAGGCCCTGAGGAATCCCAGCCCCTGCTTCCCCTACAGGGATTTGTAAGTCGCACAGTCAAATCAATAGACCAGATCATAAAATGATTAGCAGCAGTATTAGTTAATTTATTCACTGAAAAATAACTTCAAGCTGTGTCTCAGGTCTCATAAATAAAGAAGATGTTTATAATTGAGTTACAGGTGGGTGACTCTGAGGGCTGCACAGGATTGTGGGAAAAGCACTGACTTCAAGGGTCAGAAATAGCATTTTTATAATACAGCTACGGATTTTTCTTCTGAAATTAAATTCTTCTGAGACTTTTTTTGTGGAGTCAGCAAAAACTATGTTAAGTGCAGTTCATCAGCATCTACAAGCCTGGCTGCCTGTTCTGCTGCCCGCATGGGTGAACTCAGGAGAAGTGGAAGAAAGAGGTGTAGTATGAAACGGTCGAATGACTAAATTAGAAACAAGCACTGGCTCCACAGTTCTCTGTGTTGCTGGAAAATATACTCCTATTGTTCTTCTGCCTCCTCAACTGGGGGAAAGGGTGGGTGTGTAGGTTTTCGAGGTAAAAGGCAGAGAAGGAACAGGTGCCCTGAAGAATACAACCTCCTTTGGGTTCAAAGGTTGGCATTTGGAAACACAGCATCATCTATCTCGGACCCCTATGATCTTAAGGCCGTGTGTCAAAGGGCACACACTTAATTCACAGATAGTATGTGAAAGCTTAAATTTCAAGTGGGTGTTGATGGGAAACAAGTGGAAGCAATGAGTCTTTGGTGAGCACAGGAATATCGTACAGCATTGGAAAGGGACTCAGCACTTGTCTTCATCCTGTGTTCCCCACTGAAGGGGAAGACAAAGAATAAACAGCCATCTTTGTCATGTTTGCTCAGCAGCTTCAGTCACCAACATTCAAAGTTAAACTATGAAGAACGGAGTTATTTCATTCACCCTTCTTGTCAGAGTAAAAAGGCCTTGGTCAGTGCTACATTACGACAGTTAAGGCTGCTTTTGGAACCTGGCCTGCAATGCTGACAAGAAGGACTATCACAGCCACTATCCAAGGAATGGCCCTTTTGCTGCTGTTATGTGTTTGCTTGAATTCGCTTGGTTTTTCTGGTGTTATCTTTAAACGCTGTGGCTCTGTTAGCCTCAGAAGGGTGAGACAGTAAATCCCTGATACCCTCTGCAAATAGCAGCCTGGCAGCATTTTCTTAACAGATGTTAAGAATTATAACAGGTTGCACTGCTATTTTGTCTGGTTATTTGCCAAAGTAAGCCCAAAGCATCCTGACCAATAAGCTGGCATTTAGAAAAGCACTCCAAAACACAGTCACAGCTGGATGATCTATTCACCAATATTCTTCCTTCCACTCCCCACCCATCAGTGGGATTTGCTGCAAAATGATTAACTGCCTTACCACCATCTGCGCTCAGGTTCCATTAGTAACCCATGCATTTCAGGAGATCCCAGCCCTGCTCAAGCTAAGTCCAATTACTGCTTGCTGATTCATCAGTCCAGCTAAGCAAGCCTGGAAAATGCAACAGGTAACCAAACACTCTTGGAACAAATTAACCTCTACAAAAACCAGGCACATCACACCTCAGGAACAAATCAACCCCTACATAAACAGGTACTTCATGTCCTATCCTGCCAGTGTTAACTACTGACAAATACAGGGAAAAGCTCAGGTGAGGCCACACTTGCTCTACACAGGTTGCTGAACAATAGGCTCTTACCTTGCTTGCTCGCAGACACTGCAAATCCAAGCCTTCTCCTTCTTCTGGTAAGAACTGCAGCTCTTGCAGATGTTGTACTTGCAGTCTTGGCACTGTCGCTTGCTGTTGATAAGAAATGTGAAAGGGGAACAGCAGCGAATACAGCAGTGCTCGTTGAACTTCTGCTGTTTGGAAAGGATGCTGCACTTGTTACCCTCTTCATCCAACTTCTGCTTCATTTCACTGGAAGGAAAAGCAAAAGAACAAGAACATAAACAAAATTTCAATGGGAAATCTCTTCGCCTTTCTCTTCTTTGCACATCTTCATGTAATACTCTTCAAATAACTTTTACAGGTGTGAAATAAATGTCAGAAATGCATATTCGAAATCCAGAATTCAGAAGCAAAAGCTCGCACATTCCCTGGAGTCACCCATAGCCGATCCATTTAAACTCTGAGTCACAAACCAGGGCAAACAATCTCCCTTCACTCAGTTGCAGCAAGACAATTCTCAGGAGAGCCAGGCTGCTGCTCCAGGTACTCCAGCTGTGCAAAGCCAGTGTCATTTGAGAATTCAGGGCTGCTTTCAGAACACTTTACAAATCAAAAATCAGTCTATTAAAGTCAAAAGGCTTGGTGCACAGTAATAAAAAAATCCTTCTGATCAACAGTTTTGAAAATGGAAGTGCTAAGTTTGCTTTGTTCTGACCCATGGGGTCATATTATTCATAATAGCTCCAATTTGTCAAGGAAGGTTAATCACATACTTCATTTCAGAGAGATTTGGGTGTTTTACTAGTTAGGACCAATACTGAGCCAACTGTCCATGAAAGTGTTTGCAGACCCCCTAAAGTTTTCTGTATTCCAGCAGAAGAGCTTATTTATTACATAAAATAAAATAAATTGTGTGTGTGGTATTCAGTAATTTACTATCCTCCATTTCCCAGTGCTTTCAATATTTTACAAATTAGGCAATATATTCCACGATATGGGTAACAAAAAACATCCAAAAGGAACAGTTGTGTAAGTAGACAAGCCTGCAAACTCATCACACAATTGCTGGCGTGTACAACTAGGATATACATTAAGAAGGGAAAAAAAAAAAATTAGGATTCATGAAAAACATGTTAAATGAAAGCTTATAAAACAGTGTGCACATACATGTATTCATTCTTTCCATCACTCAGAATTAGTAGTGCCTACCTTACTATTTCCAATTGCTGATAAGAACCACTTATAAGACTACAGTAGCACAAATGTCTAAACAAAATTTAAAGGTACCACAAGAGATAGCCTAAGCTGCAGGAAGACAGTCATGACATGCTGACTTACACTTAAATTAATACTTAAATATCTTGCTACAGGAAAAATACACTTATTGCATACTTATTCAGGAACTCAACCAAGATCATCTATAAGCATCATCATGAGCCAAGCCTGGAATGTTAAAAAAGACTCACATTACTGGGCTATACATCTTCTTATTTGCCATTTCTGCTTCAGATTCATAACTCAAAATAAAAACAGCCTATTTTATGAAAGTCTGACAGGCCAATTCTAAACCTCAAGTCTAAAAGGCAATTAAGGTGGTGATGTACAGCATATAATTTTGAACTTGCACATACATCATATTTAACCATATTCTAGATACACACCTTTTATAAATTTAAAACTTCAAAACAATATATGTTTCTGCTGTTTGTGCCCTGTACGAAGGTTTGGCTATATCTAAGACCAGCTGTTCAAACCCAAGTAAATACTTTTTGGAGTTTCAAGTAAATAATCTTTCTTTATGATTTTTGTCCAGATGGCAAAACTTCATTGTTTTTCCACATTTTTACAGAATGTTAAAGATGGAAAACGTAAGAGATTATCATGCAGGAGAGGAAATGTCTGAATTATGCAACTCAAACTGGCTTCCTCGTGTAAACTGATAGAGACTAAATGGGATGGTTAGACTAGTTTGTCTTATCCCCATTCCTCCCTCCTACTGTGGTACCACATGGACAATCTTTCTAGGGGAACAGGAGAAGCGAGGTGTTGCCATGTCACTCCTCCATCCACAGCACGCATCCTGCTCTGCAGCAATGGAGTGAGACAGAGCAATGCTTCTGCACAGGAGGTCAGGCAGAACCCCGGGTCCCAGGACAGAAGCTGGTGATGGTGAGGGCTATACGATACAAGGAAGACTTCACTTCAAGGAAGTGTCAGCAGCCCAAGATGCTGCAATCTTTGCTTCAGGCTGGGGACCCCAGGCAGCAGATGCTGGCCTCCCCATAAGATAAGAACAGCTAAGGAGTTGAGGTCAGGAGGAGCAGTGAAAGAAGAGATTTTTGTCCTCACGCAGCTCTATTATGTCCCTGTCGTGGTTTAGCCCCAGCCAGCAACTAAGCACCACGCAGCCGCTCGCTCACTCCCCCTACCCCGATGGGATGGGGGAGAGAATCGGAGGAGTAAGAGTGAGAAACACTCCTGGGTTGAGATAAGAACAGTTTAATAATTGAAATAAAGTAAAATAGTAATGCTAATAGTAACAGTATAATAATGATAATAATAATAATGATACACAAAGCAAGTGATGCACAATGCAATTGCTCACCACCCACCGACCGATACCCAAGGTCCCGAGGAGCGAGCGCTGCTCCCCGGCCCCCCCCCCCCCAGTTTATATACTGAGCATGACATCATATGGTATGGAATAGCCCTTTGGTCAGTTTGGATCAACTATTCTGGCTGTGCCCCCTCCCAATTTCTTGTGCGCCTGGCAGAGCATGGGAAGCTGAAAAAGTCCTTGACTAGCATAAGCAGTACTTAGCAACAACTAAAACATCGGTGTGTTATCAACATTCTTCTCCTACTAAATCCAAAACACAGCACTATGCCTGCTGCTAGGAAGAAAATTAACTCTATCCCAGCCGAAACCAGGACAGTCCCAGAATTAGCAACACTGGTATTTGGTAGTATCAGCCTGCACACTCAACATTGGCATGCTCAATGGAATTTTGAACCGTCATTAGGGCTCTTATGCATGATAGCAAGATAAACCACAGAAGCAAAGCCACCTATTGAAGGACTACAATAATGCTCACACAGTATGAAAACAGCCAGTTTCGTTCACAATAGAGCTAATAAAGCCTGATACCTAGAAAAAGCTGAGCACACACTGAAGCCTTTTCATCAATCCAGGCATTAATTACATCTCTCTCCTCTATTTGGCTGCCAGCATTCATTACAGTGGTAGAACCTTAATATCATTAAGACATCTGCCTCACTGTTAAATAGGACTAAAATTGGCCAATGGATTCAAAAAGTCAATAGGATAGTGTTGGACAGGCTGGCAGAGAGAGAGGGGATGACAGAAAAACCCTCGTTTCCACAGGAAACCAGGCAGAACAGAAAAGAAAGCAATGCACGTGCCTCGATGGCTGTAACAAATTAAGGCCCTCATGCACTACCTGCCAAAGGGTATTCTAGTTTCTATCAGGAGTCAAATGGAAAAAGGGACTGTCAACAAGACTTGTCAGCTGAAGCTGAAAGACTACTCTCCACTCTCTTTCCTTGGAAGTAAAACATGGGTTTTATGAAGGCGAAACACTGCACAACACTGATAGGCAACTGAATCTGCCTGGTTTGAGGGAAATTGCATAGTCAAAGGGAAAAGTAGGCTCTGGTTTACTCCCAGCAATACTGAGAAAACCTCACTGGTGCATGACTTCAGCTGGATGATTACTGTAAGCAGGATGATTAATGTGAGCTCCAATATCAATACACTGAGAAAGTCTGTAGCTGGAATTCAGGAGGTACAAGTTGAAGGTTGAGGCATCCCGAGTTGGAAAGTCTCACACTTTACCCTCAGGATGTTCAAATGGCTTGGTGCAAGAAGATTGTAACAATGGTCTAGGAGCACAGTCAACAACACTGATTCTCTCATAACAGTGCAACTCACTTCCAAAACGATGACTGTCACCTGTGCAGGAGCCGACTTTTTCTAAGAGGCAGGTCGAACCACATGGCCATCACAAACGTTCCCCCTTCCTCCCCATGCAACACCGTTTCCCTCAAAAAAACACAGATGAGGGGGATGGCACAGAGAAAAGAGGGAGAAAGTGTGTGCACTCATGTGCACTTACTTCTCCCAGCATTACATTATGTTCCCTCCTTGGGGAGGTATTTATAGGTATACATATAATATGTGTGCAAATAAAAAAACCAACAAAAAAAGACTCTGCACAAAAAATTTCCCTTTTGGGGAAAGGACTGAAGAGTGGGAACCACAAATGACAGCATTTATTCACATCACTTAAGTCACAACTGATGGTGCTCAGCTATTATGGTTATGTGTAACACAGTAATAAGCATCTGCAGAGAAGAGAACTCCTCATGTTTGAATGAATCTAAGATTGGATTTCATTTCCTTTTTCAAGTGGCTGCATTTCACTGATTGCCTATAAATACAAAAGAAGCAAAGAATACTCAATGGATACCCAACGTGTCTGTCACCAAGACTAATTCTGTCAAAGAACTTTTTACTGAACTGTAAGTTCCAAAATATACAGATGCATATTTAGATTTTTCTAGAGGCTTGTATGTATTTATCTGCAACAGTGTGCATAATAAATATGTAATTAATTTCAGTTAACATTTTGGGTGATAGACTCCTGGCATGTAATCCCATACAAAGATTACCATTAAGTTATTTACAAATATTCACTGAAGCACAGAGCAGGACAGAAGCATAACCAAGCAGCCAAGGCACTCACGAGGCTAGGACACCTTACTTTAGTCTTGCCTTAGGAAACATTTAGGTATTACACAAACAGCGCTACATCACTGATGGTTAGCACACTCCTCGGGGAGGTGGGAGATGAGGTGAGGGTGTGCCCAGTAGGTTTGTTCAAGAGCCCAGTTTTGGGAAGACTCTCCAATTAACCCATAAAAGCAAGCTCACACAGAGGCATTTATGGGAAAGCAATAGGACCACTACCACTGGCAGCAGCAGGGACAGTCCTTTGGAAAGGATGCAACATGTCAGCTAGTCAGCTACAACGCAGCACGCTAAGCTCCAAAACAGCGTCTGAATAAGCAAGTCTGTCTGCCAGACTCTCCAAAACCTGTGTCTCTGCTCTTCTCCGAGAGAACATCTCCAACTAGCGGGCTGTAGCCAGCTTATGCTCACCTCACACCAGTCTCCATTTCAGTCTGGCACCTGCCAGTTTAAAGGCAAAGTCCAGCTGGTGAG